ACTACAGCAGAGCTGGGGGAGGGGGTTGTCTGCTGAGTGAACTTGGTACACAGAGCTCAGCTATGTCCCTGGAGTGCACCAAACACTGTGTGGAAGAAAGGCTTTTTCCACTCTTCCTTGCTTTGGTATGAGATTGCTGCTGGAGGTGGGGGTGAGGGCTTAGGTAATGTCTCTAAAGAGGTCTATGAGTTTCTCAGATAGGGGATCCCACTCTGTGCTGTTCGTGCATGCATGACAGAGATGTTCCTCTGTTACTATGGCAACAGCCAAGGTACTTGCATTCCACAAGAGGCCAGAGCTGCTCTGTGGGGAGCTTTGGTCCTCGCTGGGAGAGGGTGGTGGTAGGAGCGGGGTGGATTGGTGGTGTTGTGGGGAGTGTCTCATAAGCTAGATTTTTGTGGCTAGAGTTTCTTCCCAGAGTAGAAATGTCTATACAGGGCCTCTGTTCACAAAATTTTCTGTGTTTGTGGGATTTTGGACAAAGGGTGATGACAGGAAGACCCACAAGGAGAGTCCTGGAGGTTATGTTACCTTAGTTCTCCTATGACTTTTGATAAATGTGCTTATTTAGCAAGTTGCTGATGGCTGGTATCTTTCTGAGAGGCTGTCAGTACATCCTAATGGGGAGTTTCGTGGGTTTTGCAGGTAGCCAGACTTGCTTTCCAGCCCTGCAACTTTTAGTTTAAAGATCTCAAGTTTGTTGGTATAACCTTTTTAACTCTAAAGTGCTTCATTAGTAAACAGGTGGTATTGAATGCCTCTCCTGTGAGTATCTAATGAGATAATGCATGAGCAGTTTCTGGCATGTAGTTGGTATTTAGTCAGTAGTAGTTGTTATTGGGTCCCGAGTATTGCCAGCTGTCAAAACACCAAAGGATGGTTGCACTGGGGAAATGTGCCATCAAAGATCAATCCAAGGTGCTAATGAGCAACAATATCAGTTTAAAGACTAAGGTGTGACTGATTCAAGCCATGGTCTTTTCAGTTACTTTCCATGCATCTGAAAGTTAGACAACACCTAAGAATGACAGAAGAATCGATGCCTTCAGAAGAGTACTAAATATTTCACATTCTGTCAAAGAACAAACTAATATGTCTTGGAGAAAATGCAACCAGAGTGTTCCTTAGAGGCAAGGATGGTGAAACTGTCTCTTGCATATTTTGGACATGTTGTCTGGAGGGACAAGCCCTTAGAAAAGGACATCATGCTGGGAAAAGTGGAGGGTCAGTGACAGAGAGGAAGATTCTCAATAAGATGAATTTACATGCGACTGTAACAGTGAGTTTGAGTGTACCAGTGATAATGAGGATGGCACAGGAAAGGACAAGGTTTCAATCTGTTCTTCATAGGGTTGCTATGAGTTATAGTTGACTCAATGGCTTCTACCCACAACAAAGCCAATATTGCCAGATATTTCTCTTGAAGACTTTTCAAGAGACCATCTGAGCGCTGTTAAGTTGGGAGCAGGCTCTCTATTAGCACAGTCCACAAGAAGTTGTGCGTCTTACCCACAGGCTGTGCCTTTCTGGCAGTTTTAATTCACTGGTGACTCCAAGGGAGAAAGATAGGCAGTGTCTCATCGCATGTGATTTATCATTTTAGATGCTCAGTAGAGGGTCAGCTGTAAGGTGGTGCTGATGTGGTGGCAGTCAGTTGAGTTGAATGCTTTTTCTGAGTTCTGATTCTCTCTCTCTTTGCCGTTAAACTATCTGGCCTGCCAGTGCTGCAGGCTTGCTTCTCAGACTCAGCTCCTATGTGCCTGGTCTGAGCTTGATGACATCATGCGCTTGTTTACCCAAGAGGCTATGCCCAGTGAATCTCACACAACACTAGACCTTGGGGATCAGCAGCATCACTGCTACTCATTTTCCAAGCCTGGAAATGGAAGCCTAGAGAGAGTTATTAAATGCCTTGTTCAAGGTCACCCAGGAAGAAGAAGCCATTAGTTAAAATGACTGTTACATTTATTTTTGCAGTCATGACTAAACCAGGGGTGACTGGAGAGGGCCAACCTCATGCTTCCCTGAATTTCCTTGGTTGTTTATGCCAGGATAAATGTGTGTGTGGAGTAGTTCATTGTGCTCTAGTTGTAGAGCTGGTAAGCTCTGTGATTCCCTTGGTGCCTTAGGTATTAATAGCTAACATTTGCACAGTGTTTTACAGCTTATAAAATACACACTTATTTAGTTCTTAGAATAGGACTTCAAGGGAGTTATGATAATTATCATAATTTTTTTATAAATGGGTAACTGAGGTGGAAAGTCACTTGCTGAAAGCAACATAGTTACCAAACAGCAGAATCAGGGATTGAACATCTATCTGTATGATTCCAACCTATAGAAAACTGGCTCTGCTGACATGAGTTTATCTTTGGAGAACTTGAGGGTGTTGCTGCTATAAAAACAGTGTTATCACAGGAAGTGTGGTATCTGACCTCCTCTGACTTCATAATGGGGATGGAGGATCCCCATCAACAGCATCAATCTCCAAGTACAGTTCCTGAACTTTCTATCAGTTCCAACACTGGTCATCCATCTGTTGCCTCTGCTCTTGCTGTCTCTTTGTCCCTACTGCTCTATCTTCATTGCTGCTTCTCAAAGTTTCATCTTGTACCATTTCTCCAGGATTGCTGTTCTCTGTCCATAGGCCAAGGAGTTTTAGCACAGGCAATTAAGTTCAAAGGATGTGCTTGACTCTTGAGTCTTCTTTCTTGAGAATGGTGAGATTGCTCTACTTTTGCCTGTGAGATGGTTCATTTTAAACCTAGCAGGATGGCAAAACTGACTAATCCCTATGTTGGTGTTCTAGATACACTATTTGCATGATCCTATCCCACAAGGATAACATATACCTGATTTACATTATTAGCAATCTATCCAACCTCCCAGTGGACTACAAACACCTCCTATTTGCATAATCCTAACCAGTCATTTTAGGGGAGCTCTCATGGCCAAAGGTAAGGATTTGTGCTGCCAACCCAAAGGCAAGTAATTTGAATCTACCAGCTGCTTGATGGGAGAAAGATGGATGATCTATTCCAGTGTGATTTACTGACTCTGAAAAGCTACTGGAGGGTCAGCACTTAACAGCCACCAACAGTCAATAATGGGAATTACACGGACAATGGCTGGAAGAGTTGTATTAAGTAATTTATAACATGTTAATTGTCTTCTGCTGACCCTGTGCAGAGATGGCCATCCACAGCACAGTGCTGATAAGAAGACTCACCTGAATGAAGATTGGACTCTGTAAAATATTAGGTTACAAAAGTATCTGACATCCTTATCCCTTATTTGATGTTATATATTAAATCTACTAAATGGTAAAAAAAAAGGTTATAAACTGGTATAAAAGGCAATAATGGTGCCTCTTCTCACAAAGCAGACACTAAAAACCAGTTGCTGTCAAGTCAGTTCTTCATGTGCATCAAAGTAGAACTGTATCCCGTGGGATTTTCAATGACTGTTTTTTCTTCATAAGTAGATCTTTGGGCCATTCTTCCTAGGCACCTCTGAATGGGTTTGAACTACCAACCTTTCAGTTAGTAGTCAAACATTTACTTGTTTGTACCACTCAGTGACTCCAAAGTAGACATTATCTCTTTGTTGGTAATTATGAAGTTAATTAGTAACAAAACTACAGCTAGAATCCACAATTGATGATTCTCAAATTCCCTCAACTTTAGTTTAAGGGAGGTTGACCCCTCTACTTTGTTTTAGGGATTCTCGATACTGAGATGTAAGCAAGGACTAAAGAAGGCATGGTTCCAGCAAATTTCCTTGTTTGGCAGAAAACTTAAGCTAGGATTTTGAACAGTGCTATGTGTACCTTCATATGCATCAGAGATTTGGACAATGACTAGGGAGGACAGAAGGAGAATTGACGCCTTTGAGCTGTGGTACTGGAGAAGAGTATTGAATGTACCACGGACTGCCAAGAAAACAAACAGATTCATCCTGGAGAGGGTTAAACCAGGCTACTCCTTGGAGGCAAGGATTCTGGGGCTTCATCTCACATACTTCGGACATGTTGCAAGGAGAGACAGGTCTTTGGAGAGGGACATCATACTGGGTAGAGTAGAGGGACAGCGCAGGAGGGGAAGACCCTCTATGAGGTGGATTGATTTAGTGACTGGGGTAATCGGGATGGGTGTGTCAGAGACAATGCGAATGGCACAGGATAGAGCAGGGTTTAGGGCTGTTGTACATAGGGTCACTATGAGTCGCAAACGACTCAACTGCACATAACAACAACAACAACATGTGTACCTTCTTCCTATAAACTTTCCCCACAGCATTGTTGATGGGGAAGGAACAATCAGAGAGATGATTGAGCATTTGAATTGGTTCTAGACTTTAGCAGGCTTCTTTCATCTGCAGTTGCCAGATGCTTACTTTTGTTTACAATTCAGTGAGAAGATAAAAATTACATAGGAAGAACATGAAAGAGTCCGGGGTTTTTTTTATTTTTTATTTTTTTCTATAATTATATTTTATTAATTTTCATAAACATTTACAGAGATTTTGGGCTTCCACTCATTCATTGTTGCACTATTCTCTCTACCCTCCTCCCAGTTTGTTCTTGTCCAAATGCCACAGTGCTTGTCAAAGCCAGTTCTGATTAATCTTCTTTGTCAGTGTATCCTTTGCCATTCCCTATCACTCCTCCCTGAGAGAGACTTCACCCTGAGTCATAAGGAAAAGGGGACGGCGTATTCTCTTAGCTACTTCCTGCTGAAAAGGGATGCTGTGGGTTTCAGGGTGAAGATCTTCTCTCACTACTCTAAAGGGCCCCTTTGGCAGTAGGAAACACATAGACTATTATGGAGATTGATTTTGGAATTCAGATGCACTCTTATTGATTGTGCTTGGCTGTACATGTACATATCCTTGAAGTTGTATCATGGGGGTGTTGCAACCTAGAAGACACAAATTTGACTAACAAGTTATAAGTACATGAGTCCAAAAATTATGGAAAAGTAAAAGAAAAGATTCTTTCATTGTTTTACAAACCCTCCCCCAGGTCCCCTCCACCATGCAGCCCTCGCTCTAGTCTCCTGTGATGACAGAAATAGAGTCCGGGTTTTGAGAACTAGGAGGGACCCCCCAAGATTCTGAGAATAAGCCAAGGTGATGGCTGAATGACTGAGAAAATGAGAGGAAACGCTTCCATTGATTATTCTGAGAGAAGTGCCTTCCATCTAGAGAGGAAAGCCTGGTTGATTGATATCAGGACAGGTAGAAAAAGTCTGACTGCTCCAGAATGCTTTATTTTCTAGAACTTCCTGGATCCAAAACATGTATCTCCTTTAATTCTAGGCAAAAGATAGGGCATGTTGTTAGTTGGCATTGTGTCAGCTGCTGATTCCTGGTGACCCCATGTGCCACAGAATGAAATAGTACATGGTCCTGTGTCAGTTCCAGGATCTGTAGTTTCCATTGACTGATTCCTTGGTATTTACTAAGGTATTTCCTCCTCTTCTGTCAGTCAGGTGGTGGCTGTGCATGAGGTGAACTGGTCAATCACGCGCTCATTCACTACTGTTAGGTTGATTCTGACTCCGACTGGCCCTCCATTTGGTTTCTGAGGCAGTAAATCACAATGGTAAGAGACTTCCCATCTTTCTCCTAAGGAGCTGAGTTTGAACTACTAGAGATGTGTAGCCTTTCAGTTAGCAGCACAACTGACTATAGAATATTCCCTGATTGGTGGTGATCAAATATCATTTTCCCTGAACTTAGAATCTATAACCACAGGTAAGGATAAAGGAAAGATTTTCATTGCAGCTGATTAAAACTTGGGCTCATTATAGTCAAGTGTCTTTGCATGCTACAACCATACACTGGAACATGAAGAGCATTGGCTTAAGCAAATATGATGTACAGTTGTGTCCATTAATGAAAGACTTCTGATTATACACAATAGGTTAATATCCAATTATTAGACAATATGGTCTGTCCTTCCACAAGAATATTACTGTTATTAAAACCTCCCAGAGGTAAAGGGATGATTTAACAGAGTATCTGATAAAAAGTTTTAATGATATTGTGGGCATTCATGGTTTCAGCAAAGAATTCTAAAAGCAAAACAGTTGTCAGGGAATATCCTGACCCTGTAGGCAAGATCTAGACACTTACTGTGTGTTGGGGGAATATCAAGATTGTGAATTATTTTGAGAGAAGTAGGAAACAGAATCCCTCCATTTGAGATGCTTGAAAGAAAACCCAAGCTGGATAGATTCAAGTCTATCCATAAACATAATACCTCTCAGAGACTCTCCTCCAAATGTTTGAGTGTATACTACATGCCAGGTGCTATTCTAGGTCTCCAGTAACAGAATGATAAGCACAGATGAGGGACTGTTCTTCAAGGACCAGATCTATACATTCTTATAAGTTACACAGTCCAGAGTCCAGCTTCATTTGATTTTCTCTTTCTACCTCCCCTGTTTTGGTTGCTACCTACATTCTGCCTATTCAGAGCCCCATCATTTTATAAAGTTGAACCCCTATCTCCCCTGCGAAGTCTTCTACTGCAGAGATACTCGTTAAATAGTCAAGTCTGCACCATTTTCAGGTCACGTCCAGGGTACTCTAGTTGTGTGCTTAAGGTACATATTCATTTGTTTATGAGGGTTTATTTTTTTCCTTAAGGAGAATTTGGGTCTTACGCGTACCTGAATTTCCCATTTTCTTCAATGCCTAGCTTAATGCTTAGCATATAGTAGGCACTACTGATTGGCTTTTTCTCATTATGCCCATACTCATGAGTGGTTACAGGTCGGTGAAGCAAACACAGGGGGTCTGGGAGAGTCCTCTTCTGGCTCTACAGCAAGGCATTTGCAGCCTTACCCAAGAAGCCCTCTCTACAGGCAGGAGCAGACAGCAGAAATGCACTCACGCCACCTCCCAAACACCGTCTGGAGAGTATTCATCAGGATCTTTCTCCAGTGCTCAATGTAGAGGACTCCTCAAAGTCGTGACTCTTCCAGAAACTCCTAGGGTGGGAGGAGTAGTAGGAGAGATGTCTTCTTTTTCTCTGAAGCATGGAGGAAAGGGCAGTTTTTATTTCCCCCTCACTATTGGGTGTGTATGGAGGAGGGGGTGCGGATCATTCCTTTCTTTTTCATCTGAGGTTGGGGAGATGGCTCATTTTCCCTAAGCTCTGTGGAAGTGTGGTGGGGGGGGGAGAAGAAAAGGGGGGAGAGAGGAGGAGAGGGAGGAAGAAAGGGAAGAGAGTGAGAGGGACTGAGGAGGGGAGCAGGAGGAGGGAGGAGTAAGGAAGAGAGGGGATAAAGGGGTAGAGAGGGGTTAGAGACGGAGTAGACAGGGAGAGAGCGGAAAGAGTGCGGGAAGAGAGGAGGGAGACAAGGGAAGGAGGGAGAGAGGGGGAGTGGGTAGAGGGAAAGGAGGAGAGAGGGGAAGGGAGAGGGAGGAGAGAGAAAGAGAGAGGAGAGACTCGGGAAGAGAGGCAGGAGAGAAGGGAACAGAGAGGGGTAGGGGATAGAGAGGGGAAAGAGGGAGAGCGCTGAGAGATACGAGATACGAGATGAGAGAGAGAGAGAGAGAGAGAGAGAGAGAGGAGAGATGACTCATTTTTCTTGAGCTTTGGGGGAGTGTATGTGTGAGAGATGGCTTTGGATATGTGTGGGTGGAAGATCTCATTTATCTCATTTTCCCTTAGCTCTAGGGAAGTGCGTTTGTGTCCTAGCCCCTCAGCTTTGGGGATGGTTTAAGTATACACGGTAGGGCAGCGCAGCTCCCTCTCCCCCACCCCCCACCCCCCCCCTCCCCACACCCAAAGCCGTGGAAGACTCGGCTCCCCGTTCCTGCGGCACAGGCCTCGTGGTAGAAGGGCCAGCCCAGCCCCTCACTCAACGGCTTCGGGGTACCGGAGCGCAGCGCTGGCCCCAGTCGCAGGCGGGGGCGGCGCGGGCTCTGCAGCGCGGGGCGGAGCCATCGCAGGCTCCGCCCGCCGCCCTCACTCAGTCCCCAGGACTCCAAACCCTCTTTTCCGCGGCTGTCTGCCGGGTCGTGCCACACGAACCGCATCTCTGCGCGCCTGCTGCCGTCCCCAGGTCCGGCCCGCTGCCTCTCGGCCATCCCGTGCACCCCAAGCCCTTCCAGCCAGATGATGAACTTCCTGCGGCGCCGGCTGTCAGACAGTAGCTTCATCGCCAACCTGCCCAATGGCTACATGACCGACCTGCAGCGGCCCGAGCCGCAGCAGCCACCTCCACCGCCCCCCAGCGCGGGCGCGGCCCCGGCCACCTCGCCTAGCCCGGAGCGGAGGCCGCAGGCCGCGCCACAGTCGGCTGCTGCGCCGTCGGTGGGCAGCAGCTTCTTTAGCTCGCTGTCGCAAGCCGTGAAGCAGACGGCCGCCTCAGCGGGCCTGGTGGATGCGCCCGCGCCCACCGCCTCCAGGAAGGCCAAGGTGCTGTTGGTCATAGACGAGCCTCATGCCGACTGGTAGGTGCTGTCGGCGCTCCTGGCCACCTGGCAGAGAAGATGGAAAGGCGCCGAGGGTGCGCGGGGACCAGCGACGGGGAGGACTGGGTGAAGGAGACGGCCAGGGTGCCGAGGGAGCGGGTGCACGGGGACCAAGCACAAAGGGGCAACGGGTCGGAGGAGACAGCAGGGGTTCGAGGGCGCTCAGGGACAAGCACGAAGCGTTGAAGGGATCGACTGGGCGGAGGAGACAGACGGCCGGGGCGCCGAGGGCGCGCAGGGACCAGGGAAGGGGGACTGGGACTGCGGGAACACTGGTGGGTGCGGAAGGGAACCCCGAGGTAATTTCTGATCTGTTAGGACGAAGCAGAGGACTTAGCAAAGGTGGCTGACATAGTTGTTATTTGGGGGCAGAGGTGTCGAGTGGGAGGTCCACACACTTCGTCTTAGATATACAAAAGCTGAGGAGCGACTAGCCCCCAGTGGTTACTATGCGAGGTGAAAGAGCATTTTGTGCAGCGCGGGGTGGGAATGGCCCTTGGAGTCTCTGAGGACGGATGCAAGGATGTAGTAGCTGTTCGCACTGAGAGAGGCTTAGGGATATTTTGGAATAATAAAATGTGTGTGTTAGCAGCATGAGAGGTTTGTGTATCATTTCCACACACCGTGTGTGTGTGTGGGGGGGGGGGGGTAGAAAGTGTTTTCAGCTGGAAAGATAAAGACTAAGGTAAAATATTCTACATCATTAAAGAGGAACAGATAAAAAGAAATTTGCCTGAATGCAGTAAATGGGGGACTTCAGGAATTTTTTTAAAGGGAAATCTGGCATTTTTCCCTAGACAAAACCAAATTACAACAAATTTCGAAAGGCTCTATTTTGTACAACACAAAGTTGCTCGAGGGGATGATTTGGGTGGGTGCTGCTGAGGGAGCAAACAGAGAAGGGGCAAGTGGCTTGAAGAAAGGTCAGGGAGGTAGCTGTATTACTTATTCTTCAGGAATATGGGGACCAATCTTTGTTTTCCTTACAGGAGTTGAGGCTGAAGCCTGAAACCGAGTGTGCCTTCCTGAGAGGGACCACAGGTTGTTTATCTCCATTTGGCTGCTCTGGTGCTCCTTTTTCTCCTAGGGAGTGGAGAAGGGAGGGCCAACTTCTGTGGGTGTTGATGGAGGTGAAATGTAGAATTGGAAATGTGCTCCTGCTGGTTGCTACTGTGACCGGTCTGAATTGTCATTTGGGAGACTCTGGTAGAGTAGAAAATCCAAAGAGATTTTTTTAGAAAAAATTTAAAATACAAATGTTAGCTATTTCATGCCCCCAACCCCAGGATAATGACTTTCTTTCAGTTCAGATCAACAAGTGCCACCATTATGGCCAAATAAAGGTAAGTAATATGTTAACAATCAGACAATCAGCAAATGGTAGAACCAGGAATTGAATTTAGGCCTGATTCTACCATTACCACTCTCCTTTGTTATTTTACCTATTACTATTTTGCTTTTTTAAATTTTTAAAAATGTTATTATTTTTTGTGTGTGTACTGTCAAATTGGATCTGACTGGTACAGGAGGAGATTGTCCCTCCTTCTCCAGCAAAGCATCTGGTGGATTCAAACCGCGTACCTCTGGGGCTGCAATGCAGCTTCTTGCCACTATATTTTGCTTTTCTTAATGTATTTTGCTGTTGAGTTGAAACTGACACATAGCTGACCCTCCAGTGGGTATTCAGAGGCAGTAAATCATAGCGAGGTGGTTGCCCATCCTCCTCCTTTGGAGAACCTGGTGGATTTGAACTTTGAGTTTGCAGCACATCTTCTCACCAGTAGGCCATCAGAGCTCCCTAAGACCATAAAGTAGAGTGAGCCATGTAAAGATTCTGCAGACAGAACTCTTCAGATTATGAAAGATGGAAGGATAAAAAGTTGTTCATGACAGATCAAAAGGTTATAATGGAGTCAGAGACAAATACAGATGAGTCCTAGGTGAGTAAATAACAGAAAATTATGGTATTTGAAATATAATAAGCTTTCTCCTGTGCTAGGCTTTAAGCACTCACATTTGGGAGATAAGAAAGATATATTAAACAGTTTTATGACCGTCCTACACCTTGCCCTAATTCATCTAGTTGAATATCTTTATTTGGGGTCCAATTACCAATTTGGTAGCCACCATTCAGTAGATCCTTATTTATATGGGTACAATGAGGCTATTGGAAATTTGTGTTTGGTTCCAAATACTTGAGTGGCATGAACTTTGGGACTTTTTGTTATCTCTAGAAAGACTGCCTGGCATGAACCAGAGACTCTGCTTTATCCTAGAGACACAGTTTTTGGTGGAAGTAATAGAAGCCACTTACCCTATGGGCTAGTTCCCAACTGCTTTCTGATTTTCTCTGAAGTAAAGTAGCATTGATTTATTAAAACTCATTTGAGTTTAGTGCCTGACAACGGTTCTTTGTCTCTGTGCTTAATATCAATTCTAAGAATTTCAGTGTTTTTGTTTTTCCAACATGTCTAAAATTTACTTTTTAAAGAAAATCAGTTAAGTGTTGATCAACAGCTTTATTGAAAGGTCTAGCCTAGTGGCAAGAAACTGTGCTGCAATCCCAAAGGCACACAGTGTGATGCCACCAGTTACTCCGTAGGAGGATGAGCAGTCTCCTCCTGTGCTATTAACTGCCTCTGAAAATCTACTGGAAGGTCAGCTATGGGTCGGTTCCAACTTTCCATTACACAACAGCAACAGCTATGAGTTAAGGAGCAGATGCCTGATTATGACAAATACAGTGATTTAAAAAGATGCTTTTTTTATTGTAAAGGCTGATTTTTTAGATTAATTTATCTCACAGCCTAAGCCCTCTGGATAGTAGTTCATAAGCAGGTGTCATATATGACCAATATTATTTTCTTGATATTTAAATTGGAAATCAGGGTATTAACTACCCAGAATGTAAGAATATTGGTCCTGTCTGAGCTTACAGAATACTAAATAAGGAGAATTTTATTAAGAAGTGTTTAAATAATTGCATACTTAAAAGCTTAAAATAGGCCGCTCCTTTTAAACCAGCCTTAATGAACAGCAGATTACTTTGAATTTCTTTCTGTAATTGTGGAAATGGAAATCGAGTTCCTAGGTGGCACAAATGGTGAAGCATTGTGCTGTAAACAGAAAGATTGATGTTTTGAATCTACCCACAAGATCACAGGAATAAAGAACTGGTGATCTACTCGCAATAAATCAGCCATTGAAGAATTCTATGGAGCACAGTTCTGTGTAAGGAGTTGCCATGTATTAGAATCCATTTAATTTGAAAATCGGTACAGCACAAATACTCTTAATTACCTAGAAACTGCAAGTATGATAAAAGGAACTTGGCAGATCTGCACCAAATACCAGGTACATTTGGTAGCATAAAAGGTCTGCTGCATGAATCCACTCTGTGGGAGAAATTGTGAGCAGTCTTCTCCCACAAAAATTAAAGCCTTATGGGTGGTGGGAGTGGGGAGGGATGGGTGGTTAATCAGATTGTTGTTGTTGTTATGTTCTGTTGAGTCGCCTGTTACTCATAGCAAACTTACGTACAACAGCTCTGAAACTTGCCCTGTCCTGAGCCACTTTTACTGATTCTGACATACCTACCCTCATTGCCCTAGTTACTGTATCAGTCCATCTCCTCTGAGGTCTTTCTCTCCTGCGCTGTACCTCCACCCTTCTGAACATAATGTGCTTCACCAAGGATCAGTCAGTCCCTCATGGCCACATGTCCAAAGTATGTGAGATGGAGCTTCAAAATCCTAGCTTCCTAGAAGAAACTTGGTTTCACCCTCTCCAAGACAGACTTACTTGTTTTCTTAGAAGTCCATGCATGGTATGTTCAAAACTCTTCTCCAGGACCACAATTCAAAATGCAGAGATTCCTTTTCTATCATCCATGTCATATCATTATCTAGTCATTGTCCAGCTCTCTGATAGCAAGTAATTGTGAAGACTGGATCAGGTGCACCTTAGTCTCTACACTGACATACTCTAGCTTCATACTCTAGAAAGGTCCCTGACAGCAGATTTACCTTATGCAACTAATCTTTTGATTTCCTGACTGCTGGTGCTAAGAATGTTGATTGTGGTTAATCATAAGGTCACACAATCTGATGGGTGGAGGAAGGCTAGGTAAAAGAAATGGAAAGATCCAGTGTGAAAAACAGTGCATGCGAACTTTGTAAGTAAACCAGTATAAAATAAAAATTTTACTTTAAATAAAAAAACCAGTGAACAACTTAGGTGAAAAAATACAACTGTATTATATCCCAGTGTGTGTGTGTGTGTGTGTGTGTGTGTGTGTGTGTGTGTGTAATTATGTATAATTACTGCCTTAGAAACTCAGTGGAGGGTCATCATGAGTTTAAATTGCACTCAATGGCAGTGAGGGGTTTTTTTGGGTGGGAGGGTTTTAGACATAAGTCAGTAGTCTATTGATTATCTTCTTTGTGTAGGGTAGATAGTCTAAGAAATAGCAGACATACCTCTTCCTTTTAGGAGTTTATTATCCAGATGAGTTGATAACTTTCTTTTAAGTTTACAAAAAATTGACCTTCTTCTATTAAAAATATGCCTAGATTAGCTGCTTGGTTTCAACCAAGAGGTATTTTTGTTTGTTTGTTTGTTTAAAAAAAGGACTAGATACTGTCATTTGATTCTGACTCCTGTGTGATCCCAGTAGAACTCTGCTCCATAGCATTTCATTTTTTACCATAGGGTTTCCCACAGCTATTGTTTGTTTGTTTTTTGTTTTGTTGTTGTTCTTTGTGTTTTTAAAAACAGATGACCAGGACTTTCCTCTGAAGAGCTTACAGTAGACTTAATCTCTGAGCTTTTAGGTTAGTAGCTGAGCTGAGAATATTAACCATTTATACTAGAGCCTCCAGGAGCTTGTTAAAACAGAATCTCAGGTTACACCTCATTGAGTCATCATTTATATTTGAGCATCTCCAGGTGATTTTTGTGTACACCTAAACTCAATGCAC